ATTATCCCCTCCCCAAAATAAGGGGGCTTGGGCCCAGCAATCCCACCTCTCCCCCCACCACGGGGTCTCACCCGGGGCACGGTCCTGCCCCTGCGCCTCCAGCTGCGCCTCCAGGCTCTGGAAAACCACGGGAAAACGGGAATTGCAGGGTGGCCAGGCCCGGGGACGGGGGGTTTGGGGGGGATCTGGGGGGGTTTGGGGTACCTTGGCCGCCCGGTAGTGGCCCAGGGCGGTGGCCGTGTCCCCCCGGCGCTTGGCCAGCAGCGCTTCCCGCTGCAGCTCCCGGAGCCGCGCCCGGAGCACCGGGATGGGGTCGGGATCCAGGCAGGGAGCCGGGCAGGGAGCTGGGGATGGGGCCAGGGAAGGGCTCGGGGGCTGGGCTGGGGGGTCAGGGGGCCCGGGGGGCACCTGGGCAGGGCCCCTGCCCCCCTTTCCCAGCGCCACCGGAGGGGGAATCTCGGCCTCATCGATGCTCTTCCCGCTCCGGACGGACTGCAACATCTGCTCCAGGGTCTGGGCACGCAGGGAGGGAGGAAATCAGGAAAAACAGGGGGAAATGGAGAGCAGGGGCAGGAAGAGAAGGGTAAAACAAGGGTTTGGGATTGGGAAATGGGACAGGATGGCGATCAGAGCGATGGAAAACGGGATAAAATGAGTCAGAACAGGGAGAAACGGAGTAAAACTGCTCAGAGTTGGGAAAAACGGGATAACCCCCAGTCTGTTCCAAAGGCTTTAGGGGCCTGTGAGGGAATTGGGGCGGACTCAGGGGAGCTGGGACTCTGGACTCACCCGCAGGCCGCGCTGGAGCCGCCGCAGCCGCGCCCCGTCCCCGGCGTCCCGGGCGTTCCCGGCGGCCTCCCGGTACAGATCCAACCGCTCCGACAGCACCGAGAGCACGGCGGGACCCGAGGGCTCCTGGGGGCACACCCCGACCCGCTGGGATCGCCCAGGACCCGCCCACAGCGAGATCCAGGGCTGGGGTCACGCCCGGGATCCCCCCACAGCAGCATCTGCTGGGATCACGGGCTGGGATCACTGGGATCAGGGCTGGGATCACTGGGATCAGGGCTGGGATCACTGGGATTGGGGCTGGGATCATTGGGATTGGGGCTGGGATCACTGGAACCACTGGGCTCAGGGCTGGGATCACTGGGATTGGGGTCACTGGGATCATTGGGATTGGGATCACTGGGATCATCCCCCCTCTGGCTGTACCTGGGGTGTCTCCATGGTGGCCTCACTCTCGTCCCCCTCCTGCAGCACCTCCTGCAGCTCCGCCTGCCCCCAAAATCCCAGGAATTGACCCCCAAATCTGGGAATCAGCCCCTGCCGGGGGCACAAAACCCCTCCCTGGGCTGGGACACCCCCCCCCAGCCCTCCCTCACCAGCAGCTCCTCCTCATCCTCCAGTTCTTCCTCCTCCTCCTCCTCCTCCTCGTCCTCCTCAGGGGGGTCCCTGAGGCAGAGCTGGGCCAGGGCCCCCACGGCTGCCAGGCCTGGGGGGGACATAGTGGGGACAGGGGGGATCACAGACCCATCTGGGGGATTTTGGGGGTTCACCCCCACCCCCCCGGCTCCCAACTCACCTTGGGGGGGGGTCGGGGCCACCCTCCCTGGAGCCCCCCGGGGCTCCCCCAGCAGCTCCAGCAGCTCCTGTTCCAGTTCAGCTCCATCCGAGACCCCCTCCGGGGGGGCATCCAGCACCAAACCCATCTGGGGAGGGGGGGACAGGGCTAGGGGGGGCACAGAGACACCCCCGGGACACCCCCAGGGAGAGGGACAGGGCTGGGGGGTCGTAGAGACCCCCAGAGCCCCGGGGAGGGGAGGAGGGGACACCCTCAGATCGGGGAAAGGGATCCCGGGAGGCAGAGGGTGGTTCCCAGGATCCCGGGGGACACAGGGGTGTTCCCGGCCCCCAGGGGGGGTGCAAAAGGGGGGAGTCCCGGGGGTCCCACGCACCTGCCGGGCCATGGCTGCCCCCCGGCCCGGGACCCTCCTGGCTCGGCTCATGGCTGCGAGGGCTCCTGGGGGGGCAAAGAGGGGTCAGGGGGGTCCCGGACTGAGCCCCCAAACCCCCACAGCTTCCTGAGACCCCCCCGGAGCCCCCCAGACCCTCCCAACGTCCCAACCCTCCTCAAAGCCCCGCCGGCCCCACTTAACACCCCAGAGCCCCCCCAAAAGCCCCAATTCACCCCCTCGATCCCCCCAAAAGGCCCCGATCCCCCCCGTTTCTCCTCCCAGAGACCCCCAAAAGCCCCCGTGTCCCCACCAGAGCTCCCCAAAGAACCCCGGTCTCCCCCTCTTCCCCCCTCCCAGAGCTCCCCAAGAGGCCCCGTGCCCCCCACCCCGCTGTCCCGGTCCCGGCGCGCCCAGTTGCTCCCAGTTCGTCCCAGTCTCTTCCTGCTCCGCCGGCCGCTGTCAACACCGCCGCGCTTTACGGCGCCGACGTCGCAAAAATAAATAAATAAGTAGATAAATAAATAAATAAAAAGCTTTACGACGGGAGTGGGGGGGAACTACAACTCCCGGCGTGCACCGCGGGGGGTGTCAGGAAACTACAACTCCCGGCGTGCCCCGCAAGCGGGGAGAAAAGGCGGGAAAGCCGTGAGGGGAGGCGGTGGGGAGGGCGCCCCCTGGCGGGCGGAGAGAGGCGCGAATTTGGGTGAAATTTGGGGGAAACTGGGGGGGAATCGGGGGAAAAGCCCACGGCTTTCACCTCAGGCCTGGAGGGTTTGGGGCTTCCCGACGCGGTTTCGGCTCTGGGGAAGCGGGGGAGCACGGGTATTGGGAGGGCTGAGGTGGGAAGGTGTAGGGGGGAAATGGCTGCTGAGGGCCGAGTGGGAATTGGGGGTGTTGGGGAGTATTGGAGAGGCTGGTGGGTATTGGGGGGATTGGAGTGTTGGGGGGAATGGGGGTACGGAGGAGTATCGGGGGTTTGGGGGATGCTGGGGGTGATTTGGGGCTGCTCCGTGTCGCTCCCGGCAGCACCGCGATGGGGAAGCGCAGGGACCGTTCCTGCCCAGGTAACTGGGAAACACCCAAATATCCCGTTTTGGGCCCAAAGTGACCCTTCCCTACCCAAGGTAGGACCCAGGGACCCTTCCTCCCAAACCAGACCCCCTTTGCCCCCATCACCAGGCGACAGGAGATTCCAGGCTCCCAAGCGGATCCTCCGGGAAACTTCGGGAGCTGCTGGCGCGGCCGTTCCCATTCCCACTGATCCCACCGGGATGGACCCCCAGGGCAGGTACCGGGGGGGTCTGGGCAGGGGGGGACCTGGGATGGATCCCTCCCAGTCCAATCCACCGGTATTTGTCAGATCCCACAGCGGGAACGAGGCTGATCCCAAGGAAATCCAGGTGGGAGAGCATGGAGCCGGACCCCCTCAGGTACAACCCCCCCCCGGCACGGCCCCCACCCCAAACGCAGGAAAAAAACCAAATCTGGGGATTCTAATGTGGTTTTTCAGGAAGGAAGAGACGAGGGAATCAGAGATCCGGGAGCACCGAAACAGGGAATTCCACATGGGATGGGAGAAAATCATCTGGAGTTGTCCCAGCAGGGAATTCCGGAGGTGGATGGGGCAGGAGAGAAGCAGAGAGAGCCACCAAAACCAGGAAACTGGGATGGGATGGGAGAGAATTGTCCAGAATTGCCAAAACCTGGAATTTTGCAGATGGACGGGGCAGGAGAGGATGGGCTGGAGTCAGTGGAACAGGAAACTTTGGATGGAATGGGAGAGAATCATCTGGAATCATTCCAGCTGGGAGCTCCAGAGGCAGATGGGGCAGGAGAGGAACAGCTGGAAACAGCAAAACATGGAATTCCAGAGGCAGATGGGGCAGGAAAGGAGCAATTGGAACCACTGAGAGAGGGAATTTTTGATGGAATGGGAGAGGAGCGAGTGGAATCATTGCAGTTTGGAACTCCAGAGAAAGATGGGGCAGGAGAGGAGCAGTTGGAGCCACTGAGAAAGGGAATTTTGGATGGAATGGGAGAGGAGCGAGTGACATCATCCCAGCTGGGAACTCCAGAGGCAAATGGCGCAGGAGAGGAACAGCTGGAAACAGCAAAACATGGAATTCCAGAGGCAGATGGGGCAGGAGAGGAGCAGGAACAGGGAATTTTGAATGGAGTGGGAGAGGAGCGAGTGGAACCATTGCAGCTGGGAACTCCAGAGGCAGATGGGGCAGGAGAGGAACAGCTGGAAACAGCAAAACATGGAATTCCAGAGGCAGATGGGGCAGGAGAGGAGCAGTTGGAGCCACTGGAACAGGGAATTTCAGAGGGAACAGGAGAGGATGGGCTGGAATCACCAAAACCAGGAATTTCGGGGGCAGAGGGGGCAGGAGAGGAGCAGCTGGAAACACCAACACCTGGAATTGTGGGTGGAGGAGGAGAGGAGGCACCGAAACCGGGAATGCCGGAGGGGAATGAGGCAGGAGAAGAGAAGCCCGAGCCTCCAAGAGAGGGAATTTGGGATGGAACGGGGGAGAATGAGCCGGAATCCCCAAAGCAGCAGAATTCCAGAGCCCCCGAGGACACAGCCATGGAGGGTCCGGATGCAGCGGGAGAGAGGGAAGGAGGGGACCTGGAGCAGGGATGGAGGGGGGACACGATGACCCAGGATCGGCCCCAAGACCCCCGGAGTGGGAGGGGGGACCTGGAGAGTGGGAATGGCAAGAGGGGGAACGGTGAGAGTGGGAATTCAGACAGCGGGAATTCCAAGAATGGGAATCCTGAGAGTGGGAATGATGAGAGCAGCGATGCCCAGAGTAGGAATAGCAGAAGTGGGAATGGCGAGAGTGGGAATTCAGAGGGCGGGAACACTCGGAGTGGGAATTCCAACACGGAGCTCCTGGAGCCGGATCCCGCAACTTCCAGCACCGACCCCCAGGAACACTGGGAAGGGACCAGCCTGGAGCTCCCAACGGAGCAGGTACAACTGGGAACTAACTGGGACCCCTCCCATCCCAAACTGGGGCACCTCTCAATCCCAAACTGGGGCCCAGGCCCCCTCCCCACCCCGTGTGCTCCAGTCCAGCCCCCTCCTCCCACACAGCCGGCCCCGGACACCCCTGGACACGAGGCCAGGAGCTGGATCCACCCCAAATCCATCGGGAACAGCCCGGCCGTGCCGTGGGACAGGTGGGTGGATCCAGGACAGCCCCTCCTTTGGGAACAAACCTTCCTTTGGGCTGCACTCCCCGATTTTGGGGTGGGACAGCCCTGACCCCCCCTCTCCCGACAGCACCAGGGCGGAGCCGGCGGACGCCACCGACATCATCCGGGGGCTCATCCGGGAGCTCTCGGACCTCAAGTGAGTCCCAAACCCCTGTGGGATTCCCTGTGATGGGGGTCCAGCCCCCCTGGTAACCCACCTGTTCCCCCCACAGCCGCCTGGCCATGGGGGCCCGCCGGGGGCTGGAGCTGCTCCGCAGGCCGAGGCCGCGCCAGGGCCGGAGGAGCCGCTGGAAGGAGCCGTAGGGACACCGGGACACCTGGAACAGCCCTTTATTCATGGAATAAACACTCCTCCAACCGGGGAACGGCTCTGGCACACGGAAGGCAGGCACCCTGCCCACTCTCCTGGGTGAGCAGAACCTGAGAAATCCACCCAAAGCTCTTGGGAACAACTCTGATGCTTGGAGAGTGGCTCTGGTACCCAGACCACCAGCCCTTCCTGGCCCCCTCCAGGCCTGGCATCAACCAAAACCCAACAAACCAACTCAAACTATCCAGTAGCAGCTCCACAGCTGGAGCACTGGTCCCTTGCCAGCCTGGAATTAACCAAAACCAAACAAACCAACCCAAACCATCTGGTAGCGGCTCCACACCTGGAGCACTGACCCCTTCCTGGCCTGGGATTAACCAAAACTCAACAAAACAACACAAAACTCAGAACCGAAGCCGCTGGCAGCGCCCAGATCCGGCCAAACCGGCCTTTCCCGGGATCCCACGGCGTCTGTCATGGGCGCTGGTGCCACCGGGAAGCGCGGTGCCGGGGTTTCATCCTCAGAGCGAGGCCCTGGAAGAGAGGGGGGAGAAGAAAGGAGTGAGCACCGGGCACCCCCACCCCAGGAGTGAGGCCAATCCCACGAGGAATCTCCTCGTGGGAATCCCACCCCTGGCTAAACCCACCCTCGGATGTGCCACGTGCCCAGGGATGCCGCGACCCCGGGGGACCCTCTGTCCCTCAGCTGCTTCCCAGCGTGCCCTCCGATTCCCCGAGGAGATTCCTCACGGGGATCCCACCCCTGGATGTGCCACATCCACTGCGGGCATCCCCGGGATGCCACGACCCCCGCCCCGCGCCCCGGTACCTGCGTAGGGACACGGGACCCTCGGTCCGCCGCTCGGCTACTTCTTGCCGCCCCTCGCCGCCCGCTTGGCCCCGGTGTCCCCGGGCCGCTGCCGGACGTACACCGAGGTGTAGCCGCGGCGGGTGAGGGGGCAGAAGCGGCGGGTGTGGGCGCGGTCCTGGGTGGCCCCGCACTGCGGGCACACGTAGCTGCGCAGCACCGGGCACTGCAGGCGCCCGCCCGCGTCCCGCAGGCTGTGCCCGCGGTACACGGCGGGAGCCTCCCCGTTGTGCCGGCAGAACGCGCAGGGCGGCCCGGGGGTCGCGGCCGGGGGGGCGTCCCCGGGGGGGTCCCGGGGCAGCGCGGCCACCAGCGCCGCCAGCCCCAGGTAGTCCCGCCACATGTCGAAGGGGCCCGCGGGCTCCCAGAGCGGCGGCGGCGGCGGCGGCGGCGGGGCCGGGGCCGGGGCCGGGGCCGGGGCGGCGGCGTTCGCGGGGCTCATGGCGCTGGGAAGGGCCGGGCGCTGGAGCTTTGGGGGTCTCGAGGCTGGGAAGGGCCGGACGCCGGAGCCTTGGGGTTCCCGGGTTTTCCCGTGAGGAACGGGGTGGGATATCGTGGTGTTCCCGGTGCTCCCGGTGCAGCGAAGGGCCGGATCCCACAGTTTCGGTGCTCCCAGTGCTCCCAGTCCAGCGGGATGGGATATCACGGTTTTCCCACTGCTCCCAGTGCCGTGTGGGGTGAGGTACCACGACGTTCCGGTGTTCCCAGTCCAACGGGGTGGGATATCATGGACGTTCCGGAGCTCCCAGTGCAGTGGAGTTGCACACCGCGGTGCTCTGAGGTATCACGGCGCTCCCAGTGCTCCCAGTGCGGGGCGAGACGCCTCAGCGGTCCGGAGCTCCCAATGTTCCCAGTACCGTGTGGGGCTGCTTGCGGCTCCACGTGCCTGGTGCTCCCAGTGTTCCCAGTGCTTCCGGCGCTCGCGGCTCCGTCCCCTGCTGCCCCCAGTGCTTCCGGTGCTGGATGCTCCCAGTGCTCCCAGTATCCCCAGAGCTCCCAGTGCACCGCCCCGGCCCCGCTCCCGCCCCCGGCGCTGCTGCCTCTGCTTCCCCTGGGGGTCCGGGGGAGTCCGGGAAGAGGGGAGGGGTCGTGCCCGGTTGGGGAGATATTGGGGGGTGGAATTGGGGGGTACCGGGGGGTACTGCAGGGGGTTTGGGGCCGCTCCGTCAGCGCTGCGATGGGGAAGGGCAGGCATCCCCCCCTCCCTCCAGGGTAACTGAGAAAGGCCAAAATGTCCCAGTTTGGGTGGCGAAGGGTCATTTTGGGACCCCCAAACTGGGACCCTCCCCCCCCCCCCAAACTGGGGGTCCCGGGTCTGGGGGGGACCCCGGGGGGGGCGCTCATTGGTTGTCCGAGGTGCCACGCCCGCCCCCATCGGCCACACCCGCCCCTCATCGGCCACGCCCGCCCCCATCGGCCACGCCCGCCCCCATCGGCCACGCCCGCCCCACTCGGCCACGCCCGCCCCACTCGGCCACGCCCTGCTCAGCCCCACCTCGCCACTCCCTTTAAAGGGGCCGCGGCCGCCGCGAACCCCCGCGGGCCGGGCCGGGGGGCTTTGGGGGGCTTTGAGAGGGGCCTGAGGGCGTTGTGGGGAGGGGGGACCCCCAGCCGGCCCGGCAGTACCCCTGGGGGTGGTGTGAGGGGGATCAGGGGCTTCGTGGCACAGCCCAGCCTGCCGCGGTGTGAGCGGGGAAACTGAGGCACGGCCCCTTCCCCAGGGGGCGGGGGATGGGCTGGTGGAGCCGCTCGTCCCACGGGCGGTGGCACATGGTGGCCCACGGGCTCCGCCGCCTCACCCCGAGGCCACCCCAGCGCCGCCCCCGCGGGGGTCCCGGTGCCCGTCCCGGGAGTCCCAGTGTCTGTCCTGGGGGTCCCGGTGCCCATCCCGGTGGTCCCGGTGCCCCCGGCGATGCCACAACCCCCGGCCCGGCCCCGCCCGACCCCGGTGACTCACCGGCCCCGGCAAGTCGGCGCTTGACGCCGGGACTGGGAGGGGAGGGGGGCGATGCCCCCCCCAGCACCCAGCGGGGATTCGGGAGGGGCCCTGAGGAGTTTGGGGGGACCCGGGGGGAGGACTGGGGGGGCCTCGTGCCGTGAAGGCGCCTTTGTCCGGACCCGCCGGTCCCACCCCGAGGTGACTCACGGGCGCGTGGCTGCGCCCTGACTCACCCCCCGCACCCCCCCGCGCCATCGGGGGCCCCCGGGGCCCCCCCGGACTCCTCCTGCGCCATCGGGATCCCCCGGAACCCCCCCCGGGCCGCAGCGGGGGCATCTGGGGAGGGGGGGGGCACAAAGATTTGGGGGATCTTCGGGGTGAGGGTGGGGTCTGGGGGTGCCAGGAGGGCTCAGGGGGCACCTGGGGGTGTAGGGGGCCTTGGTCGGATCGGGGGGACACGTGGGTGCGGGGCGGGGGGATGTATGGGTGCAGGGGGGGCTGTGGGTGGTCCCCCACCTCATCATCCTGTACATCGTCCCCTGGGAGGGGCCAGGGACCGAGACCCCCCCCCGGACTCTCCCCCAGCGGGGGACACCCCCGGAACACCCCTGGGACATCCCCGGACCCCCGGGGCCGCCCCCGGTGGCCCCTCCCGGTGGTGCCGCCGGTGCCGGGGCCGCCGGTGAGTCACGGCCGTGACTCAGCCCCGCCAAAACAGCGTCGCGCGGCAACACCGGGATACACCGGGATAGGGACACACTGGGATAGGGATCCACGGGGACACGCCGGGACAGGGACCCCACGGCTTCAATCCCCAGGAACGGCCCCGGAGCAGGGCCAGAAGGCTGGAGGGGTTGGGGGAGGCTGGGACCAGGGATCGGGTGGGGGGACATCAGGGGTGTCCCTGGGATCTGAGGGGATCCAGTGGATCCCGGGTGTCCAGGTGTGGCCCGGCCCGAGGAAGGAAGGAGCTGGGAGGGTGCGGGGGGAGGAACGGGAAATCCCGGCCCAGTCCCCCCCACAGTGTTCCCAGTCAGCCCAGTGCTCCCACCAGTGCTCCCAGTCCTCCCAGTGCCAGAGCTCCCTGGGCACACGTGTGTGCTGGGCCATGTCAGTGACACACGTGTGCCATACTGAGCCTGGGCCATGCCAGTGACACGTGTGCCAGTGCCATGTTGTGCCCTGCTGTTCTGTGCCAGTGACACGCGTGTCGGTGCCGTGTTGAGCCATGACAGTGCTGTGTTGAGCCATGACAGTGCCGTGTTGAGCCATGACAGTGCCGTGTGGAGCCATGACAGTGCCCCGCCGTGCCCGTGCTGGTGCCCAGCCTGCGGCGGCCCCACAGCCGCTCCCGCCCCGCTCAGCCCGGGCTGACTCAGACACGAGGAATGTGCCGAATGTGCCGGCGGCGCGTGGGCGACACGGCCCCGCTGCCATTGCCTAGAAAGGGCATCGCCGAGCCCCGGCCACGGGGAGCCCTCGGGGGGCAACTGCGGCCACCCCGGCACCGCCAGGGACCCCACGGGGCCACCCCGGGGCTCACAGGAGCCCAGCACGGCCACCGTGGCCACTGGGGACGGGGGCACCCGGCAGGGACCCCACAGGGCCATCGTGGTCCCAGCAGGGCCCCAACACGGGCCTGTGAGTGTGAACACGCGTGTGCAGGACTGTGTGTCGCACGGGGGCTGTGGGGCCTCGTGGGGGGTGAGTGTGGCCTTACACGTGTGACCACAGGACATGTGTGCACGTGTGTGACCCCACCCGTGCATGAGTGGCCACACGTG